AAGGTACAAGTTCCCAATGAGAAATGTAATTGTGTTGTATACCTACAATGTACCAATAAAAGAATTTAATACAAAAAAAAAAAGTAAGGGGGAGTATTTTTAGGAGGATTAATGACAATGTATACTTTATTATAATAAATATTTTAAAATAAAAAAACTAAAACAAACTGAATAATTTAAAATCACAATGCTACAAAGGCAAATTCTTGCTAGATTTCTTGTTTTTAAAAAGAGCAAGTAAACAAGAAATAATTCTTCAAACATTTTAAAGTTGATTTTAACAGTAATAATGAGTAATAGATGCTCTCCAAATGGAATGACGAATTTTTCTTATTGAGATTCTGAAAATGCATTCTTCCTTCCTATAAATCCTTAGATTAGGTCCAGAAGTGAGGTCTACATTTTATTTTCACTTACAAAAGGGGATATTGGAACTTTAATAATTTTCTTCTACATTGGGCTTTACTCTTCAGCCCCAGAGACTTCCAGCAACTTCATGCCACACAGACTGTTACAAATTTAGTATAACTAATGCAAAAGGATTTACTGGTAGTATTTTATTTGAACAACAGCTGCAGAGCAAGCTGTAATTTTTAAGCCCTTGCTTTCTGCTTTATTTTATATTTTGCAATTTAAGCAAAATGCCATTTGACAACTGAAGCTATGCAAAGATATTACGGAGAAACCCTAAGTATTTTTTCAAGGCATGGCAGGAGGAGGGGAATAAATAAAACTACTGACATTTTCATGAATTTAAGTACACAAAGCTGAAAGCTTCCGAGAAGAAACAGATTTTTTTTTAATGTGGAAAATGAAGTGAGATTTTTGCCTAGAGAATTATCACATAGAACACTGGCCCTAGAAAAACCATAGAAGTTAGCTTAGTTAATTGTGACTTAACAAATGTGGCAAATTAAATTATGTCAATCCAAGTTTGGTGTGCTTGATTTCTAATGTTTTTGGATAAAATGAGATCAACTCTTGGAGAAGAGCCAGGCATGGAAAGTCAATCCACACTTGTAAATTGAGGTCTAGTTCTTTAATCTTGCAATCTAACAGGTCAGCCATATAATGACTGAGAAGAGAACCTCTGGGATTTTATTTTTTACTACAGCTGAAATTAAGAGCACACACTACAAGAGTGTTTAGTCTTTCTACTACCTGAGTATAATCAATATTCAAAGAAACCTAGATACTACAGAGTCTATGGTATTTAGAGCAGGACTTGATTTTAAGACAGAACAATAATACCTCATGCTATTACCAAACTAGAGATTTTTCAGCCAGTGTCTTTATTTATTTATTTGGCAAATTCATAGAGCCAAAGATATCTGAATCCAGATTTCTCTGGAGACATTTTAGAAAAGATTAGGAACAACTTCTCCTTACCATGTATTTTAAGATCACATCAACCAGGCCACCTACCCACTATTATAATTGCACATGTCACCCACCCTCAGTAAGTGTGTGTTGGTTCTAAATATTTTCACAGAAATTCTGGCCAATCCATGTTTCAGTGTGAATGGATGAAAAAACACTGGCAGATACCAGGAATGGATGGCAAAAGGCTGTGTCATGAGCTGCTCTAGATGAAGGCCAGGAGATATAGTTCAGTGTCTTCATCACCAGAGATCACAGAGCTGAAGATTCATTCACAGAACCACATCTGTGAGCATCTTTCCCTCTAGAGGCAGGCATTTGTCAGAAAACGTCATCATATCAAAGAACACCCTGACGTGGCCCTTATCTCTTAAGCTCTTCTCCAAATTGGGTCATCCTGACCCACTCTATGCCATGATTATTTCTTATTTTTTTTAGAAATTCTTGAAGGCTCAAGTTTTAAACCTGTCTCATCCATGAAGCTTCCCCTGGTCTTTTGCAACTCATATATTTTTTTCTGGGAAGGGAATATTAAATGTCATGGTTAAGTGTTCAGATTTTAAGCATCCTAACACCTGTGTAACCTAGGCTAAGTTACTTCATCTCTCTGTGCTTCAGCTTGATTTTTTTTTTTTTTTTT